AAAAAAAAAAAAAAAAAAAAATACAATATAATGAATACATAGGAAGAAAAGACTATGCAAGACACTGATCTCACAACACTCCTAGAAGATAGGCATCATTAGGCTTCTCACTTTACGTATGAGGATCAGAGGCCCAGAGAGGTTGAGGCACTTGCCTGGGGTCACACAGCAGTTGAAGCAGGATTTGAACTCAGGAGTCTGGTTTGAGAACTTGGGCTGGGTAAGTTTCCATTGCAGGTTATTTACCACCTTTCTTTTAACTACTGCCTATGAATGGGCATTTACACTGTCATTGGTATTTTGTATTGATTAGTAATAATGGCATCTTTTTTTTTTTTTTTTTTTTTTTTTTTGAGACGGAGTCTCGCTCTGTCCCCCAGGCTAGCGTGCCGTGGCTGGATCTCAGCTCACTGCAAGCTCCGCCTCCTGGGTTTACACCATTCTCCTGCCTCAGCCTCCCGAGTAGCTGGGACTACAGGCGCCCGCCACCTCGCCCGGCTAGTTTTTTTTTGTATTTTTTAGTAGAGACGGGGTTTCACCATGTTAGCCAGGATGGTCTCGATCTCCTGACCTCGTGATCCGCCCTTCTCGGCCTCCCAAAGTGCTGGGATTACAGGCTTGAGTCACCGCGCCCGGCCTAATAATGGCATCTAACTTTGAGAGTTACTCTTGAAATCTGATGCCTTGGCCGGGCGCGGTGGCTGACGCCTGTAATCCCAGCACTTTGGGAGGCCGAGACGGGCGGATCACAAGGTCAGGAGATCGAGACCATCCTGGCGAACACGGTGAAACCCCGTCTCTACTAAAAAATACAAAAAACTAGCCGGGCGAGGTGGCGGGCGCCTGTAGTCCCAGCTACTCGGGAGGCTGAGGCAGGAGAATGGTGTAAACCCAGGAGGCGGAGCTTGTAGTGAGCCGAGTTCGTGCCACTGCACTCCAGCCTGGGCGACAGAGCAAAGACTCCGTCTCTACAAAAATTATCCAAAAAAAAAAGAGAAATCTGATGCCTCCTTTTTTTTTTTTTTTTGAGGCAAAGTCTTGCTCTGTTGCCCAGGCTGGAGTGCAGTGGCACGATCTCGGCTCACTGGGACCTCCGCCTCCTGGGCTCAAGCAATACTATCTGCCTCAGCCTCCCGAGCAGCTGGAATTACAGGCACCCGCCACCTTTCCTGGATAATTTTTGTATTTTTTTAGTAGAGATGGAGTTTCGCCATGTTGGCCAAGCCAGTCCTGAACTGCCTACCTCAGGTGATCTGTCTACCTCGGCCTCCCAAATTGCTGGGATTACAGGCAGGAGCCACTGCACCTCCCTTTGTTTTTTGAGACAGGGTGTTGCCGTGTCACCCAGGATGGAATGCAGTGGTGTGATCACGGTTTGCTGCAGCCTAGAACACCTGGGCTCAAGAGATTCTCCCACTTCAGCTGCCCAAGGAGCTGGGACCACAGGCACCTGCCACTCTGCCTGACAATTTTACTTTTGTAGAGACGGGGTCTCACTATGTCATCCAGACTGGTTTTGCAGTCCTGGCCTCAACTGATCCTACCTCAGCCTCCTGAAGCACTGGAATCACAGGCATGAGCCACTGCACCCAGCCGGAAAATTAACCTCTGTCTTTGCATGCATGGTTGAGCCCTTCAGAAATCTGAGCATGGTGGCTATGGCTGGGCGCAGTGGCTCAGTCCTGCAATCCTAGCAGTCTGGGAGGCCAGGGCGGGCAGATTACCTGAAGTCAGGAGTTCAAGACCAGCCTGGCCAACATGGTGAAACCCCGTTTCTACTAAAAATACAAAAATTAGCCGGGCGTGGAGGCACATGCCTGTAGTCCCAGCTACTCCAGAGGCTGAGGCAGAAGAATCACTTGAACCCAGGAGGCAGAGGTTGCAGTGAGCCAAGATCATGCCACTATACTCCAGCCTGGGCAACAAGTGAGCCAAGATCATGCCACCATACTCCAGCCTGGGCAATGTGCCAAGACTCCATCTCAAAAAAAAAAAAAAAGGAAATCTAGGTTGGGTAAATGGTGGCTCACGCCTGTAATCCCAGCACTTTGGGAGGCCCAGGCAGTCATATCACGAGGTCAGGAGATCGAGACCATCCGGGCCAACATGGTGAAACCCCATCTCTACTAAAAATACAAAAATATGGTGGCACATGCCTGTAATCCCAGCTACTCGGGAGCCTGAGGCAGGAGAATCGCTTGAACCCGGGAGGCGGAGGTTGCAGTGAGCCGAGATCGTGCCACTGCACTCCAGCCTGGGTGACAGAGCAAGACTCCGTCAGAAAGAGACAAAGAGAGAGAAGGAAAGGGAGGGAAGGAAGGGGAGGGACGATATCTAGGTCTGTACACACAGAACTGCCAGGTGAACGGGTGTGGGCATTTCATCTAAATACTGCCCGGTTTCCCCCTTGGAATGCTTACCTGGCAGGAGTCAACTTTGCCTTCCAGGAAGCCGGCGCAGATCATGCGGTCTGTGAGGGAGAAGTTGTAGAGCACGCTACAGGTCTTCTGGTCTATGATGCCCACGGACGCCTTCTGCAGGAGCTCGGGCTTGGTGGCTACCAGGGAAAGAGCCCAGAAACGCCACTTGCAGAGTGATCATCAGAGCAGTTCTAGTTCGGGTCCGATAACAGTGCCGAGATGCAGCATCCCCACCCCACAGACAAAGAAACCGGGGCTCACAGAGTTGCAGGAATCACACAAAGCCACAGAGTGAGAAGGAGGTGGGCCTTGGATTCCTCACTCAGAGCGCAAGAGTCTCCCCACTGTCCCCATGGGGCTGCCGCCCTAGCACCTGGGTAATGTGCAGGAGGCCATTCTGAGGTCAAGGGAAGCATTAACTGTTGGGGTGGGACGTTTGCTTTTTTTTTTTTTTGAGACGGAGTTTCACTCTTTTTGCCCAGGCTGGAGCGCAATGGCGTGATCTCAGCTCACCACAACCTCCGCCTCCCGGGTTCAAGTGATTCTCCTGCCTCAGCCTCCTGAGTAGCTGGGATTACAGGCGCCCGCCACCACACCGGGCTAATTTTTGTATTTTTAGTAGAGATGGGCTTTCACCATGTCCAGCAGGCTGGTCTCGAACTACTGGCCTCAAGTGAGCCGCCCGTCTCGGCCTCCCAAAATGCTGGGATTATAGGCGTGAGCCACCGCACCCAGACAATTTTTGTATTTTTTTAGTAGAGACGAGGTTTCTCCCTGTTGGCCAGGCTGGTCTTAAACTTCTGACTGCAAGAGATCCACTGGCTGAAGCCTCCCCAAGTGATGGGATTACAGGTGTGAGCCTCCGCATGTGGCTGCCAGCAAACGTTTTTCTATAAATGGTCAGAGAATTTAAATATTTTTGGCTTTAGGCCAGGTGCGGTGGCTCACGCCTGTAATCCCAGCACTTTGGGAGGCTGAGACGGGCGGATCACGAGGTCAGGAGATCGAGACCATCCTGGCTAACACGGTGAAACCCCGTCTCTACTAAAAAATACAAAAAAATAGCTGGGCGAGGTGGCAGGCGCCTGTAGTCCCATCTACTGGGGAGGCTGAGGCAGGAGAATGGCGCAAACCCGGGAGGCGGAGCTTGCAGTGAGCTGAGATCCGGCCACTGCACTCCAGCCTGGGCGACAGAGTGAGACTCTGTCTCAAAAAAATAAATAAATAAATAAGTAAATATTTTCGGCTTTAAAGGCCAGTCTCTGTCACAAGTATTTAACTCTGCTGCTATTGCAGGAAAGCAGCCATAGACAGTCTGTTGTTGTGAGAACGTGGCCCTTGTTCCAATAAAACTTTATTTATACAAACAGGCAACGGCCAGATTTTGCCCCCAGATGGAATGGGGAGGTGAGTGGTGTGTGGGCAGTGGGACTAAAGACAAAGGGATCAGCCACAGAGGTCCCTGTGCCATGGAATTGGTTTAAGGTCCAGGTAAGAGATGCCCATCCTGGTCCTCCCCAGGCCAGGCCCTGGAGAATAAATCCACCATTCCCCTCGATCGGGGCAGGACTCACCATTTCCTTCCTGCATATTTCCCCATCCGGAGATCATGCACTTCCGGCCCACAGGGAACTTCTGGATGGCCAGGGGCAGGCAGACAGGCTGGATGTATTTGTTGAAGGCCAGGGGGCTGGCCAGCTCCAGGACAGCCAGGTCGAAGTCCAGGATGCCAGGGTTGTAGAGGGGGTGCAGCACCACCCGCCGCAGCCCGATCTTCACTGGGCTCCCGCCCAGGCCCAGGAGGGACGCAGTGCCCAGGTGGGCCCGAACCTGCTCCACCTTCGTGCTGTGGAGACAGGGCCCTCAGACGTGCCCGCCCTCCAGCACATGCCCGCCTTCTTGGGGGACGGACAGGGCTGATGCATCCCCCCTGGAAAGCCACACAGGGCTGCCTGGGTCCCAGGACCATTCCTCTGACCCTCGGCTCCAGGGAGGAGGACCAGGGGAAGAGGGGCTGCCGGGCTCCTCCTGAAAAGGATCCCGAGTTGGGGGACCTTGGGCAACTCAGGGGACCCTCAGGCTTCATTTTCTACACCTGTGCCAAAGCTCTCCCAACCCCCTACAGCTTTATGAGTCTTTTTTTATTGAGACAGGGTCTTGCTCTGCTGCCCCAGATGGAGTGCAGTGGCACCATCAGGCTCACTGCAGCCTCGACCTCCTGGGCTCAAGCAGTTCTCCTGCCTCACCCTCCTGAGTAGCTGGGACCACAGATGTGGGCCACCGTGCCTGGGAATCTCCAAGATAAATGCTGCCTGGGTAGCAAGCAATGGGGAAGGAACCTTCTCCCCCTCCCCTTTTGTTTGTCCTCAGAAGCCTTGGCACCGGCTCCCTCCTGTCTCTCAGCTGCCCTCAGGAGAGGAAAGGCTGCTCCCCAGGGTGGGGCGAGGGGTGGCGGGGGGCACCATGAGGCAGCCCCAGCAGGATCGTTTCTGACAGGGAGGGGCTGATGAGGAGGGGAAACCGGGCAGCCTTCCTGGAGGAGGCGGGCCTTACTGGTTGAAGCAGTGGGCGGCAGACAGCAGCCAGCGGTCCCCCACCACAGTCGCTCCACAGAAGTGCCGGGACCCTTCCTTCAGGCTGACCTGCCAGGGCACCTCCCCCGAGGCAGCTCCGAACCCGCCCACGACCCGAGTGGGCTTCTCCATTGCAGGCCTGGCCCCACATTCTGGAAGGGGGACACAAGACCAGGTCTGGGGATCTTGGCCTGCTCGGATGGGAGCATGGGGGTGGGTAGGGTCCCAGGACACCAACTGCAGCCAGGCCCTAAAGGTGCCGCAATCCCGCCCATTCCACAGATGAAGGTGTGGAGGCTTCGAGGTGTCCATATTTTGCCCAAGGTCTTGCAGCAAGTTCGTGGCCTAGCTTGGGGGACAGAAGTTAACAAAGCAACAGCAGCAGCCCAGTCAACCTGAGGACCCCCCGCAACAGACCCCGCCACAGGCCCGCAGCCCACAAAGCCGGGTTTACGGGCTCCTTGCAAAGACAGGGCTGCACTCCAGGAGACCCATGGGGCAGCTCAGAAAAGGAAGGGGTACGATTGCTATGGGGTTTCGGAACAGAGCATGGGGTGTAGGTGAACTGAAATGAAGCATGGCCGGGCGCGGTGGCTCACACCTGTAATCCCAGCACTTTGGGAGGCCAAGGCAGGCAGATCACCTGAGGTCAGGAATTCGAGACCGGCCTGGCCAACATGGCAAAACCCTGACTGTACTAAAAATACAAAAATTAGCCGAGCATAGTGATGCACGCCTGTAATCCCAGCTATTCAGGGGGCTGAGGCGGGACAATCACTTGAACCAGGAGGTGGAAGTTGCAGTGAGCCAAGATCGCACCACTGCACTCCAGCCTGGGCGACAAGAGTGAAACTCTGTCTCAGGAAAAAAAAAAAAAAAAAAAAAA